AGTTAGCTACATTGATTCCTTGCGATCTTGCTACGGCACGAAAAGTGCAAAAACGCATAATCGCATCGGTCCGCCTGGTGCGTTCCAGCCTGGGTTTTTTCAGACGCTCGGAGTGCAAATGGTTGCTGCATTCTGGCCCAAACTAAATGGCATAACTGATACTGTTGTTTAAATGTGTGTAACATTTGTGTACATTGACCACAATCCGGACGTAAAGTACAAGCTGATCCTGTTGAATAATCGCGACGAGTTCCTGAGTCGGCCGACCAGCAATGCCCAGTGGGAGGATGGCGTTCTTGCCGGTTCATTTTTTGACTAGAAAAAATTTTTCATCGTTTCAATTCATCTGTTAGGATCAACTGTCGACATTTCAGTGTCTGTGATCCATGCTTTCAAGCAGCAAAACTCCTGTTATACTTATCAGCGATCAGAAGGCTCCCAGCAGTAGCGGCATTAACAAGCTCAAATTCATCAAAGCCGAACGGCACAAAAAAAAAAATAAAAACCTCGCACCGTCTGGCATGGATGGTCTTTGGCTTGACAGCAGGATACCCACCATTCGAAGAGTGTCGGGAACTTAAAAGAATGATAAGGAATGGTGTGGTGGCCATACAGGAAGGATGATAGGGAAGATTTGAAAAATCACTCTGGCCTGCTTGCTGATAATTATAGCCAAGTAACTAACAAGACACCTCGCTGGAAAGCAGACAAAGCAGCAAGATTGATCCCGAAGTAATTACAGCGCGTTGGAGCGACTGAATTATTTCTTTGTGTCCACATAAATAGTAGGGCTTTCAGTTGTAAAAATGGAGTACAAGACTTCATTAGGACGATGCGAGATTGTAAAATCCGATGTACACACGAGGTAGTCTTTTTTCAATTATTTAAGAATTTTGCAAGACGCAGACAGAAATAATGAGTTTTTGCAGGGCGTGACGAAAAAGATTCCAATTCTCGTGGTACATGGCTATGCATTGATAAGTCTGGTCGTATCAGTAATTTGCTGACAATCACTGTTCCAATGCATCAAATGAAACGAGAAGCTACTAGTCGAGGTCAAATTTTATCGATAACTTTTGAGGCATTTTTGTCACTTGGGAATTCTACACCCGTACTGTCACTGTTGTGCAACGCTGATGCTGTTAATCCAAAAAAGCTTAGCACGAATAAGTCTAAGGATCTAGAAAACTAAAGATAAAACTGCATCTAAAATCGGAGATCCTAGGGCATTTTGGGACAGCGTGATCATTTCTGAAGAACAGAGTTTTAACGTCTGAACATTTTTTTTTTCGTCGCACATTAGGCTACAATTTTATATGAAATATAACAGCGATGAAAAAAACACGTGCAAAATTTTGCTCTAAAAGCATTTCCTGGAGCCCTTGATGTTGTGGTGATCTGAAATAATCAACTTAGTCGAAAGCGTACCAGCTGCCGGTACGAGGAAGCGTTTTTTGCACAGTTTCCCCGCAGGTTTTTTTCGTCAGTGGCACGTTCTTCCCGGCAGATGCTGCTAGCTAAAAGAATTGGCCACCACAACTCTTAGAAATTATTACAATGACTCCCAATTCATGCCTTAATAAATGGCAACGCGCACCAGACTAGCCGGTGCGATCATGCGTTTTGTGCAATTCAGCCCAT